GCAGAAAACCAGATGATTTTTGAACAATCCCTATACAAAATATTACATAGTAGTTTTAACGGAATCTCATTTTTCTTTTGATACTGAGTATTGTCATTAATGCGAGTAAATGTCTAAACCCATCCTTTGGATCTAAGGTTTACATGATTCTCTTGTGCTACTGAGTTGTGATGGCGTTATAGTTGTGACGGGGCCATAATTTTGAATGTGCCATGATTTGATTTAGAGAAGACAATATTTTATGGCTTGTCGAGTACATATGTAGAAACTAACTATTTTTTCTTTAATTAGCTGTGCTCTATGTTTCACATTATTTCCACACTTACTGTTAAACAAAGTTGCAACACTGCAATATTGATTTTCTTTTTGGCCGTTGGGATATTGACATTCTGCACATGGCTTTCGTATACTGTTGGAAACTCATACAGAAATTCTTTTCTATGATTATCAGCTTCAGCAGAAGCATGTAATGAATTGATGGCTTATTCGTTAGTATTGTCTTGCTGTTGCTATACATGCTGCATTCGAAGGAAACTTCGCAAGACGCTGAATATCTCAGTAATTCCTTTCCCAGTTTCCGCACTGAAATTACAATACCACTGTAATTCATCTTCGCCACTGCATATCATGACATGACAAGAACCCACTCTAATCATTCTCCTCTGCTATGCTCTGCTCTTTCTTCTCTTTTTGGCAGGGAGGCTTCATTGATGACTTCCTTTCACATTTTATGTGTTGCTGCTGTGCCCTTGTTCAAGAATGGCGAGAAGTTGAACTACGCGGGATTCCTTATGGTAAGTGCTTCCATGCTTGAGCCTTTGTATCTTTGCTCAAACGTAATCGGTATCTTGTGTATAAAACACAATATTATGATCTCTAATCTCATCCCCTTCATTGCTTCTAAACCAAATATGCAAAGTGTTTGATATACAACCAACTTGCAGGTGCTGAAAAGACAAAAATAAGCCCGCCACCGTCACAGTACATGGAAACCTAACTGATAATGGAATTTTGAGATTCATCCACTTTGAACGCCATATGTAGAGGTAATGGCTAGTTGCCATTGTTACAGGAAAACTTTGGGGGAGTTTATGTCGCACTAATTTTCCCCTATGTAAATTAGCGCTTTTTAAAATTTAAATTTTATTCAGCACATTGTGTATCATAGACTTTTGCTTTTCTTTTTCGAAAAATACCATAGAAGTGCTTGATTTTACCAATTTGTTTTATATGATTGTTTTTCCTTCTTTTCTTTTGCTTTGTGACTTTGCTTTTTCCACATTTAACCAATAGGATTTATAGATCCACATTTGTGGGTTGCTTAAAGGAGGTTTGGTGTTGGTCATAAAATTATCACAAAATCTCCTCTTTAAGTATTACCTGAATATTATGCATGCATTTGCAACCAGATACATAGAAAACGATCACAGCGTCTTTGTTTTGCAGTCAGTAGGGCCCGGCCATGTGTTAGAGAGAGCAACTCCACCAATCTCATTTTCATTGGAAAATAAATTGGGAATTCTGTTTATTCAATTATCCTTATCAATTCTGGCAATCAAATATAAACTTAATAGTGGTTGTTACTAATTACCAACAAAATAAAATAAATACAAAAGGGTTTAGCATGGTGGGAAAGGACATTGACTTGTAGATTAGTGGTTTTATGTTTGAATTTCTATGATATCATAATAGTGTGTGTGTGAGAAACTCCTCTCCTTAGAGCACCTCCAACGCAGGGCTTTTTGCCAGGGCAAGAGGCAACCCTAGCTCGAAATGGACCTCCAGCGCAGAAGATGCAGCCCGGGCAAGCCCTGGGTCCCACCAGCCCGGGCAAGCTCAAGGGTAGATCTTGCCTGGGCTTCAGCTTGAAGCGGTGACGTCACGCTGATGTCAGCGAGCAAAAAAAAAAAAGAGAAAAAAAAAGGGGAAAATTTTCAATTTTTTTTTAATTAAAAAAAATACCAAAACATTATGGATGTTTTCCCTATAAATACATACAATTTTATTCACTTTCCCTATAAATACATAACAAGTTTATATTTTGTTGCATATTCCTTTTTTTTTCTTGCACTTGCTCTAGCCTTTTAGGGTGGAACAAAAAAAGGTAAGGCTGCCACTATTCATGTGAATAGTAGCAGCCATTGCCTTGCCTTTATCTTAGCTTTAGCCTTTTGGGGTGGACATGCCCTTAGTTTAGACTATTGCTTATACTAAAAAAACAAAATAAAATAAATGGGATTCACATAATTTCTCTTACTATAAAAATTGTATTGTATCACATTTTCTTTATACTATCGTTAGGCAAAGAGATTCGAATTTAGAATTTCTTCCACAATTGAAGGGAAAATTTACGATTTCGCCCACCGTTTAGAAGAGAAATACAACTGAAACTAAATCAATGACTCGTTCTTACCAACAGAACTTTAGTTCAAGGTTTGCCCGTAATTTTACCCATAAACTTCTTGCTTGGCCCAATCCACATTTCTGAAGTTTCTTTTTGGTACGCACTTTTTTGAAGTTGTGGATTTCTGTCTCGCTACTTTTGTTTTGAAGGTTCTAAAGGAAGGGATTAAGAATAATAACCTATTGCGTTATAGGTGTCGATGGCCTAATTGCTTTTCCGCCAGAAAGCTACCAAGTCCAATCATGCGCAAAAAGTAATTTTATAGCACAAATCAAAATAATTGAGTTGAATTTTACACCATAAGAATACCTTTTCCTCATTTTAGGCATGCCATACTTGCATTAGGCGTGCCAAGTCTTTCTGGTTTAATATATCGCTACATTTTATATAAAAAAACAGTATACCTTTACCAATTTTGACAATTATAACTATAAATCTTAAAATTAAGATAATAAATCTGGTTCATGGTGAATACTTAGATATGAATGTGTGACAAACGGATTAGTTAAAGTTTACTTGGAGTTTTTGTTCTTTTGTATTTCGTGGTTGTACTTGTATTGTGAATTTTTTAACTAATATTCTACTTTTGTTCATGATATTCATGTTTGGATTGTAAATAGATGTTTTTTTTTACTATTCATTGTATATTTTGTTAAATTTCAATATTAATAGTCACCAACTTAATCATCTACATAGCATGAAGAAGTTTTATCACAAAAGATCTTGGTGATATTAGTAATGGAATCATTCATTATATGTTATATTTTATTTAGTCAAGTTTCTAATTCTCGACTTATATTCTTCAACACGCCTCACTATGTTGGACCATCGTACGTGGAACCAAATTCACATCGGAGTCAAACATTCAAGCCTAACACGTGAACACCAAATATTGAGTAAGGGTAAACATTCAAGTCTAACATGTGAACATCGCACATTGGGTAAGGGGTAAGGGTAAAGACCCAATTAATCAACCCGCTCTGATACAAAATGTGTTAACTTTAAATAAATTAGGAAATAAATCTAAATTACAGTAAGAAATAAATATTAATTACAATAGGACTAAATAAATAGATAAGGAACCAAAATCATAACTAAACAAGGACTCACAAACACATTTATTACTTTATTAATAAAGTGTCTTAATAAAAAAAAAGTTATGGTCAATTTATTCTTTTTTTCATTTTTTTGTAATAATAATATTGACTTGCAACACTAAATCAATAGTTGCGACCGACCGCGGGAAATTGGTAATACCTTTCCAATTTGGATACGCACCCCTCTCCAATTCCTATTGGAATGGGTTTCCCAAAAAAAATAATAGCAAAAAGGGCCTATAAATGAAGGTGTCTCATATTTCTGAGAATTTATCAAAATAAGCCAAAATTTACTCTCTACTTTCAAAAATGTCAGTTTTTATAAAATCTTTCAAATATAGCCAAAAACTCATATAAATAGACACAAATACCCTTAAAAATTAAAACCAACATAAACCTAAAAAGCAAAACTACACACAAAATTTAGATTCGCACGCACGTTTGTAGTCTTTGGTTGAACTACTGTTGAGCACCCACATCTGTAGCCTTAGTCTGAAGCAATTCCAACACTCTCTAATTCAACTTACCGATCTGTAATCTCAGGTTTGCTTTTCTTTCTTTCTCTCATTCCATCTTTGTTTTAATTCCATGGTTTTCTGTTGGCCACTTGAAATAGTTTATTCAACATATTAATTTTGTTTGTTGGATTGGATTTGAAGATAAAGAACTTATTAATTGTATTTCTTTTTCGATTTGGATGAATAAAGTATTTCCAATTTGGGTCTGCCTAGATAATTGTAAATTGAATTAGGGAGTATTGAGGCTATATAAAAGTGTTGCCCATTGGTATGGTTATTAAGTTCCTGATCAACTCTCATAGAGACACTCCTCATTTCATGCAATGACGATACTTTGTACAAATTTGATTATATGACCTTTATGTGCGAAAGAAATAGTTTTTGAATGAGTTGAATATTCAAAACATAATTATTGAATACTAGTGTCTCTAATATAAGTTTTTAAGTTTCTTGGTCCTATTTATGGATATTTCCTCTCAAGTTGCTGCGATAAACACAGCAATGACAGCTCTCACAAATACAGTTGGTGTGTTCCCGAAGTCTTTGGTAACAAAGTCTTTGCACATAGATTCAATACTTTGATAACATATTTTCATTTATCCTATCTCGACGTCTTTGCACATAGATTCAATATTTAACCATTTAACGTCACTTGAGAAGGAAGGTGAACAACTTGTTTTATCAGCAAAACTATAGTTCAAGGTAAAGTACAGACCCTCCTGGAGAAATTGTAGACCTTGGCAGCGCGGGATCTCTTTGTAGATGTTGATTCTCGGGCCTTTTTTTTTTTTTTTTTTTTCCATTAGCATGATCTTTCTTTTTAAGTTTATGTGGGTTTTAATTTTTAAGGGCATTTGTGTCTATTTAAGTGAGTTTTTAACTATATTTGAAAGATTTTATAAAAACTGACATTTTTGAAAGTGGGGGATAAATTTTGGCTATTTTTGATAAATTTCCCATATCTCTTGCCCATCTCACTCTTCGTCTATTTGTCATGTCATTGCGAAAGCAAAATCACTCACTAACCAGAAACATAAAGCGGTCTCTCTCTCTCTCGCCTTCGAGCTTTCTAGGGATATAGAAAACCAGTGCTGTTTCGAAACCCATCAATCGTCATAACTATCATGTCGTCGTCGTCGAAGAAGATCACCCTGAAGAGCTCTGATGGCGAATCGTTCGAGGTTGAAGAGGACGATAAAGCACATGGTCGAGGATGATTGTGCGGACAATGGGATCCCACTTCCCAACGTCACCAGCAAGATCTTGGCCAAGGTCATCGAGTACTGCAAGAAGCACGTCGACGCTGCCAAGCCTGATGAGAAGATCTCCGAGGATGATCTCAAGGCTTGGGATCAGGACTTTGTCAAAGTTGACCAGGCAACCCTATTCGATCTCATTCTGGTACGTTAAAAACTAATATTGATTTGCTTATTTGTCGCGATTGTTTTGTTCGAGTATAGGGTTTCGGAAATTGGGGCGTGGATTAGGTTAGGGTTTCCGAATTAGGGATTGGGTTCAATCTTGTTTGAATTTTGGATATGTTTTTATCTTTAGAGATTAGGTTTTTACTCAATTAGATGTTTTCCATGATGATTGGGTTGGTGATGCTGCGATTAAATTGATTTGGCTTTCTGTTCGGGATTTGATTTGGGAGTGTTTGTTAATTTGAATTCTTTACTGATGCGATATCTTAATGATGAAAATTTGTGCATGTACAGCAACTTCTTCAAGTATGTACTGTGCATATTTTGAAGTTGAGATAAAGATGCGATAGCTTCATAAATTTTGTTGCCTTCTCTACTAATATTTTTTTTGTGTTTCTATAGAAGTTGAGATAAAGTTCACTAATATGAGAACTGTCTCTTGAGGTGCTAGTATGTAGATTGTGGTAACAATTAACTAGTTTTCTTTGTAATGTTATTGTTCTAGTTCAGCTAATTGGATTATGAATGTTATGTATATGCATGTTCTGAAACTACAGTAATTTGGTAATTTTTTTTATTGTTAATGGGGGTGGCTAGAAAGTCTGACATAGCTGATTGCTGAAGCTTACCTTGAATATTTTTCTAACATATTGCGATATCTGTTCACAGGCTGCAAACTACTTGAACATCAAGAGCCTGCTGGACCTGACATGCCAGACTGTTGCCGACATGATCAAGGGGAAGACCCCGGAGGAGATCCGAAAGACCTTCAATATCAAGAACGACTTCACCCCGGAGGAGGAGGAGGAAGTTCGTCGCGAGAACCAGTGGGCATTTGAATGAATGTGTTTCTTTAGTTGGAACTTAAAACAGTGGCATACCCTATCATGTATTCTAGTTAATCAACTGACTTCTTATCATTATCTGGTTTTAAGTACTTTTTATGGAAGTTGTGAGTCCTTTTAAATTGTAGATAAAACTTGGATTCTGGTATTGATAGTGGTTCGTTTCGTTCTGCTGTCAATCCTACTGTCAGTTTACTATTATGAATCAAATCTTTTGCTGCCATTAAGTTGATTTCTGTCGTTTCTCTAGCTGAAAAGGGAGATTTTCATTAGAGCGCAACTGTTATGTATGCTGTCCATGGATTTTTGGGAACTTATCAAAACCAGTGACTTGATGACAGACAGAATGCCACAAAAAGTTAGAAAAAATTTCCGTAGCTTTGTTAAGAATGTCAACCCCCATAGAAATAAGGAACAAAGAATCTAACCTAAAAGAAAAAGAGGACCACACTACACTTTTAACCAAAATAATATTTTGACTAGAGACCCGAAAAAGAAGAAAATGATTGAAAGCAACGCTTTCATTACAAATACAAAATCACTTAATATCCCTGTACCCAAAAGAAGAATCCATTGATTAACGTTTGTTTTTTCTTGTCTGGGCTATTCATTGATACCTCTCTCTTACAGAAACTCAATTTTCATCTGAGCATTCCCCATCTCGTTAGAAGGAGGGATCACACGGCTGCTTTGGCTCAGGCCGTGCCCAGCATTCACCCTCTTATTCGCTTGTGTGTCTGTAGTCATTGCTGTTAAAACTCAACATTAAACAAGCTCAACTTCTTAGCCACTCATTCATCATAATGCACAATTCTCCTGCCAATGTCGACCAACTCTGAAATTATGGACAATTTCATTCAACTCCACAAGATTGCATCCAGGCATTCTTCCAACCTTTTTTTCTTTCATCATCTCTTTCACCCAAGCAACATCCTCCCATCGACATGCCACAGCATAGACATTCAGCAGCAAGCGATAGTATGCAATGTTTTCAGGTTCCTTGTCAATGAGGGACTTTGCAATTTTTTCTCCCATTGTGATACCTCCTTGAAAACGACATGAACCAAGCAAATTAGCCCATGCCAAGGATTCCGATGACAAGTCCTCAGCAATCTCTGGCATGTTCTTAATTATTTCCTCTGCCTCCTGGATAAGCCCCGCACCAGCAAAAGCATTAGCCATGCACCAATAGTGTGCAAACTTGGGCTTTACGCAGAATACATTAATCATTTGGCCGAAGTAATCTGCGGCTTCTCTTACAAGTCCAGCACGGGCACACGCACAAAGAACGCCTATGAATGTAATTTCATCTGGGACAATTCCTCCTCCATCATCATCTGGCCTCGAACTCCCCTTTGCAGGGATGGTTTCACCATCTTTTGATTTCATTCTCCCCACCATTTCTCTATATAGGTTAAGTCCATCTTTAGGATTTCCATGGATGCAATGCCCCAAAATCATTGCATTCCAGCAAACCAGGTTCCTATTCGCCATGCTCTCAAATACTCTGCACGCCACTTCCACCCTTTTGCATTTACAATACATATCAATCAAAGCTGTGCTGACCACTATGTTAAACTCAAATAATTTCCTAATTAAATATCCATGAACTGATCTTCCTTCATTCAGTCTAGCCGACCGACCACATGCCGCAAGCATATTCGCCATGGTAGTGCTGTTCCCCTTCAATTCCATGCCCATCATTTTCCTAAACAGCTTCAATGCACACCCCGGCTTCCCACCCTTCCAATACCCACCAAGCATAACATTCCAAGATACCACATTTCTCTCTGGCATTTCATCAAAAAATCTATGAGCAACGTCCAAATCACCGAATCTAGCATAGCCGTCGAGAATTGTATTCCAGGATACCAGGTCCCTTTCGGACATTTCATCGAACACCATTCTAGCAAGCTCAACTTTCTCACTACTACAATACATGTGAATCAAAGAGTTCTGCACTTGCAGCACAGAGTCAAGCCCATGCTTAACCACCTGTCCATGGCATTTTCTCCCAGATTCAACAGAACCCATTTTAGCACAAGACCCAACAAGGGGCACAAAAGTATAGCTAGTGGGAGCAAATCCATTTCTCATCCATTCGAAATAGACCACCAAAGCTTGGTCGGGCACTGAACTAACTGAGTACGCTTTAATTACCGTATTGACGCAAAAAGTACCAGGAAAATCAATGTACCTGAAGATCAATATTACATAATCGAAATCTCTGAAATCAGAATAGCTCTTAAGCAACTTTCTGGCCCAAAACGAATCGAAAAGACCCCGCGTGATCAAATGGGCATGGATTTGGGTGATCTGGATCAAATTCTTACACGCATCGAGAAGCGAAAAAATATGGCGGTTAAGGGAGGGTTGGAACGAAGAAGAAGAAGAGCAAAATGGGGAGGATGATACAGAAAGATTGGGTTTTGGTGGGTTATAAGTGAGATGTCTGAAAATGGAGCTCCTGAAGGGAAAAAGTTCTCGTCTTGAAATCCGTGCCATTCAATAGGGATAGGGTGTTGAACGAATCGTTCCGAACTCCACTGGGTTTTCGCCATTAACGCACATTGGCAATCTTCTCTTTGCTTTAGCTTGGATTTCAGGCTGCTGCTTCTTTTGGAGGCGGGCAGTGAGTTTCATTGGACCAAAACGCGGCGTTTTAAACCATGACGTCAGGTTCACGGGTTTTGTTTGTACTTGGGTAAATTACTTAAATAGTCCTCAAATTTGTATTCGATTTACATTTTGATTCCTAAACTAAATTAATCGTTCAAATGGTCTACTAACTTTTTATTAATCGGCCCCTTGGTCCCAATGTTACATTTTCTGTTAAATTTAGTAATGTGAGCAGCATATACTATATTTGTGGGGATAAATAAGACTTTTGACCTATGTATCATCCCTTTATCACTACTGTATCACCTATATATCACTACTTTATCACATATTTGGGGAACATAGGACTGTTATGGACAGTTTTACACTTACATTTGACGGCAACATTAACATAATGTAACGGTAGGATCAATGAGGCGATTAATATAGAGTTGATGGATCATTTGAACGAATAATTTAATTGAGGGACCAAAATATAAATTGGGTTTAAATTTAAGGATCATTTGAGTAATTTACCCTTTGTGCTTTCACCAAAACGGTGCGGAGCAAGGAGGGGTAATGCGTCTTTGGGGAGAGCCTCTCCAGACTCGAGAGGGAGGTTGGCTCAGAAAAGAAAAACGGAGTTGAGAGAAATGAAATGGTGAGAGGAAGCATTAAACTTCTCAAGGATGCTGGGTCTGGACTCAGCAAGACCCTCTCTGAGATCCTCGTCTGCCCGCTTTCCAAACAACCTCTAAGGTCAAATGCTCATCTCTCTATTTTCTATTCTTCTCATTTTTTATATTTTGTTTTTTGTGTGGTAATTTTAGTTGATTAAATTGGCTTGTTTGTGGGTTATTTGGTAGGTTTTGTGAGGAAATGAATTCCCTTGTCAGTGATTCAATTGGTGTCTCCTTTCCTGTGAGTTCCAATTCTAATTTTGAAGCAGCAATTGAGTTTTTTTGTTGTTGGTTTCACTTCAGTTAACCATTATGCTGAAAATTTTGGTAAATCCAGTTTTCTCTGAAGTAACAATCACAGGGCTGCATAAATTCTGTCTATTTGGTTTCTGTTGAGTTCATGCAACATGGGAATAATTTACATTAAAAGACCCTATTGTCTCTGTGAGAATTGATAATGCTCTTTTACTTTGCTAGAGGTTATCTTCAGAGTTGAGCGTGAATGATCGTCAAACATTTCATATTTTCTATATGTTTTTGCCTTTATAGCTGATGTCCTGTATGATTCTTTCTTGTACTGATCATTTGATAGATAAAGGATGGGATTCCATGCTTAGTACCAACAGACGGCAAGGCCCTTGACCTTGAGGCCGATGAAACAATAAAACCCGAAGATGCTGTGACATCATCAGCCGAACACGAGGCAAATCGAGGAGTCCGTCACTAGGTTGAATTTTGAGACTTGTGGTATTGTCACAAAGTGAGTTACAGTTGCAAATTCTCATATGTGTCTCCTTTTTAAAGCTTTTTTGTTGAACTGAGTTCTTCATTAATAGTAAGCAGATGGAAAGGTCACATGATTAAATTTTCTTAAAGTGAATTCTTATTCCATTTGTGAGGAAATTGCCTGAGGAATTTTGTATGGCTTGTGACCCGATAACTTACGAATGATTTCTGTGCTTTATTATCTGAGAGGAATTCTGTTAGGGATGCTCTTGGAGATTTCTTCCAAGATGAAAAATTATACTAAGAGCTGCCTGTCATGAATATTATTGTTTGGCTGAATAATTCATTTATCATTTCCATGGCTGCCATGTGTTAATCTCTGTTATTAGCTGCTGTTAAAAGGATGAAAGGTTTATCTGTTGTCTAAAATGCTTTCCAATGGCTTTTGCTTTTGGTTGATCTTTCACAGACTCGCATTTCTATGTGCTATGTTTTGGTGTCTAGGTTTTACCAGCTAGGTGTGGGAATTAAGACTAAGAAGACTTGTATTCGTTTCTGAGAGACATATAAGGTTGCTATGGTAGCTGGTTATCTTCTGTCACACCCCACCCACATCTCGCTTGCTTCAGCTTCACTCTCCCGAGTCCCGGCCCTTGCGGTTATGAAAATGTCTACTTTACTTCATCAGAGTCTCTCCTAGCTCTATTATGCTTGTGTCAGACAAAGCACATCATGTTTTAAGCTGTTGGATGAAAATCCAATGATTTTATGATAGACTTAAAACCTAAATCTGCCCTGTATGCATGAAATCTATTCTATATAGTACATACATGATACATTACATACGTAGCTCTCCTTGGCATACATGACAGCGTAGCTCTCCTCCTCCCTTACCCTTTAAACTATCTGTACCGTTGCCCAGTTAGAAATCCAAGCCTTGAAACACCTTACATTCATTTTCCAACAATACCTAAGCGACGTGTCCAAATGTTAAGTAGCATTTGTTTGACACTTACTAGTGTGTAAATTTTTGAAAAGTAATGAATGATTTTTCATTCCTTCAACTTCAATTTCCTCATCTAGTTTGCCCTTATCCAATTTTGCTCTCAAGTTGACTCTCTACGCAATTTATGAGTTGTCCAACTGCTGAAACGCCAAGAAACTCTTGGTACGCACGCAGAGCAAGCTTTTGCGCCCTTTGGATAAAAGCCAACTATAAAATAAAGTGATTCTTGGAGAGAGAGAGAGAGAGAGAGAGAGAGAGAGAGAGTATTCTTCTTCACCAAAAAAGAAAAAACTAACAAAGCATAGCCCTATCTTGGGCTCTTCATGACTCATGAAAGGATAAAACATGCCCCAAATTAGCTAGATAGTCAGCAGACTTGTTTTGCTCTTTATACCATGCAATCTTCAATGAAAGAGGTGTGTGCCTTTGGAGAAGAACTTCTATGTAACAGGATGCCATCAGTATTCCAAACTTATCACACATTTGTCATGTCGAAAAGTTAAAACACATGACAATGACCATTAGTTCAGAATCGCTTGTATCCTAGGGCAGGTAAAATTTTCTTGTACCTTTTGGATTTGGGCACACACCCCCTTCCAATTCATAATTATAATAGGTTTCAACCAAGCTGTTACGAACTGAGCTCACGGCCCATGATCTCTGATTATTGGGCCGAGTCCATTGTACCACGACGGTGGGCGTCAAAGCTCGACCATCCTCGTCTTGGGCTCGGGGTTCACCATTTGGGCCACAAATGTGGTCAGATACACTTATGCCACATCATTTCTTGTGAGGCCCAAGTGGAAAATTTCAGGTATAAACCCTTGACAACAAGAAGGTAGAAGAAACAGACGCTGAGCAGCAAAACTATCTTGAAGATCACATCGTCATTGAACGAAAGATGCAGATTCAGCGGCCCAAACTTGAAGGCAGACCCCAAGAACTTCCACCTCAAAACTCCACGACTCTTTCTTCATCCTCTCAAAGAACAACCACCTCTTCTTGCCCACCGTATGGAAGAAGAGAAATTCAGTCATGCCTGCCTAAAAGTCCAATATACCCTTAACGACAACATCACGTGCCATTTACATGGTCAAACTCCACGAATTTTGTCATGGTATGATTTAATTGCAACTACTTGTTAGTTAAGGGATGTAATTGCCTATAAAAAATATTGCGAGACTCAATTCAATTGAAATTCAAGATAAAGTTCGTCTACCGTTAGAGGGTTATTATTATAGTTTTTATTGAAATATTGTGTTTGTCTATTTTGTTGATTTTCATTAAATATTTTAATAATTTTTAATTTACATTTTGTTTAGAATGGTTATTTATGAATGAAGATATGTCTGAAAAAAAAAAGAAAAAAAAGAAAAATGGACGGTTTGGATGTCAAAAAATATTTCGTAGGAGACCCTAATGTCTCTTAAAAGATCCTCAACAATAGGGGTGGCATTTTAAACCGAAAAACCGAAAAACCGCAAAAACCAACCGATAATTTACCGCAATGAAACCGCAATCGCGGTAAACCGAACCGCATTTGCGGTATTAAGAACCGAACCGCATTTGCGGTTGCGGTTGCGGTATTTGATTTTCAAAACTTGCGGTTACCGCAAACCGCAAAGTATAGCCACACGGATGATGAAGTTGAATTTTA